TAGATCCTTTTTTGTAAGCATTTTTGTCTGAATGCTTCATGGTTATGTGGAGATAAAAAGCTACATCCGTGTATGGGATTTATATTTTAAACATTTTTAATAATTTATGCATTTTTGTTTATTAATTGTTCATAAAGGATATTACGGGAATCATCCTTAGAGAAATGTGATAAATGACATCAGCATTTGTGTGTTTGTCAAAGGAAATTGAATGCCAAAGTGTGCAGCGACTATCGAACCATAAGCTTAATGTCACATACCTTGAAAATTCTCTTGAAAATTATCCACGCCAGAATTCACTCTAAATTGGAGCTGAATATTAGTGACACACAATATGGGTTCCGCAATGGTATGGGTACCAGAGAGGTATTATTCTTCTTCAACGTGCTGACACAGACATGTTTGGATGTTAACCGTCCTCATTACGTCTGTTTTATAGACTACAGTAAAGTGTTTGATGAAGTAAAACATGACCGACTCATGGAAATTCTAAAAAATAAAAACCTAGATGAAAGAAAAAAAAAGAGGTTAGTCTTCGTAAGTGGGTATATTTATTTAAAAAACCCTTAAAAGGGCTACATCAAAAAAACAAACGTTTTCGGACTAAACAGTCCATCATTAGGTTTAAATTTTAAAATTGCTAGGTTAAAATGCCTGAGCCACCAAAATACATGGGTAAAAACCCTTTAAATTACATATAGTTGTAAAAGATTATACATCTTGTTGTTAAAAAACTGTGATGTTCAGTATTAAATTAAATATAACTTCAGGTAACATACATTGTTGAATTGAGTTCCAGAGCCGGGGAGTAAACCTTTACACACGGAGAACAGCTGGAAACAGTTTCCTTCCGCCTTGTCAAGTTATTATGGGAGGAAGCCCCCACAGGAAGAAGGCCCTTAGGACGTCCACGAATACGATGGAGAGACAATGTATGGTCAGATCTAAGAACAATGAAGCTACCCACTGACCCAACTATTATGGACGACGGTTCAAGATGGAAGCAAGTTGTGCAGTCAGCCAAGACCCATCCCGGGTTGTAGTGCTACGAGAAGAAGAAGAAGAAGTGTCGGATCAGGAACAATCGCATGGATGAAAACTTATGAAGTTACCATCTAGAGCCCATTCAGAGACAACCCCCAATTTGGGTGTCTTACGTTGCCATGTAGGGTATCTGTTAAAAAATTTAACATTACATCATCTTATTAACAAAAATGTAACAAATAACAAATGTTGGGTCATTTTAAGGGTTATTACCTACATATTTAGTGTTTTGACTTATGTACACGTAATATATACACTAATAATAGACTTGTTATTTCGAAAATGTTCAGTTGTAATGTTGCTAGAAAGGGTTTTTTTTATTATATACCTTTTATAAAGAAATTTTAAATAAAACTTTTGATTTTTGATATACAGCCAAATACAGATATTTTATTTTCCTTATGAATTTTTTTTTCCCTGAAATAGAAGCAATATTTTTTTCTTTCTGTATTAAATACCATTTTTAAAAATTTTTTTTTCAAAAAAAAATGTTAACAATATAGGTACATTTTTAATTAAACTTTAACTTTAAAATGTCAACTTATATATGTAACATCATTTATCGCAAATTGGCGGCGAAAAAACTTCCAACGAGTCTTACAATTAAAGGATTTTTACAGCCAAACCAAATTACATTTTTTTTCATTACTATAAGTTCTCAAAATTGACGCCCTTTCTGAATATAGGACTAGAACAATATAAATCGTAAGAATAAAAATTTTGCGTTTTGTCCTTGGTTACTCAGTTATTGATAAAAAGCAAAGATCTGAAATTCTATCTATAAATTTTAGTCAAAACGACGTACGCTTTAAACAAATTTTCGACAGGCATAGGTTTCTATGGTGATATTATTTATGATTAGTTCTGTAAACTATCAATATTGATATAAGTATAATTTCACATGGTTATTTGTTTTAAATGTTACCTTATATATAAAGTAAAAGCTTCATTATTTTACATTTTCCCAATTTTCGATGAATTATTTTCTCTTCTTTGGCAAGTACATTTCGTTATTAAATAATAAATTACTTGTTTACATTTTTGTGTTATGTTTTAATCTCCATGTGATCGTTCTTGCTATCTTTGTCTTAGGGATTAACCGAACTACCTCTAACAAGAGCTAGCCAGGGTAGCGTTCTCCATGATTGCTTTTGTATTGGTGAAGAGGAGATACTATGGATAAAGTTGACCTACTCACGATCCTAAGTCAATTGTGGATTTCAAAATAGTACATCCCGTAGGCTTAGAATCTCATATACAAATATTGGCATGTGAGTACGTTTCACTTGGGTAATTTAAAGCTCATTAAAGCTTATCATCACTGCTCATATTTTTACTATTCATAAATTAATAAATTATGTATTTGTTTTTTATAAGATACACAGTTTTAAAAGATACACATACTAATCGAGATCTGAAAAAGGAGGCGTTGCGAGGAATTTTCGGTAGCATGGGGTCAGCTGGTGAAGAAAAACAAATAAAGAAGTAATTTAAATTTGTATAAAACCGACAGTCAGGTTGTTATCCATTCATGTCTGTCTTGTGTTGTTGCAGTTAAATATATCGAGATTCTTTTGATGTTATCTGGCCAGCGGGTGGGACTTGGTGGCATTTATAATTGGTTCGCCTTATTCCAGAATCTTCCTTGTCTAGAATCCCATCCCGCAATCGTGTTACATTTCTCGCTCATCTTTATTTAATCCTTGTTATGCGTTCGAGATCACCATCCACCTTTCTTACGATTGGCACTTATTCCGATTTAAAATTTTTCTTACTTTGCCATAGGCAGCTCAGCTTGAAGATATTCTTCTTTGTAATTTAAATTTCTGATTACCTCTTGTGATTTTTACTTTATGTTCCAAATATGTAAATTTGTGAGTAAGTTTGATTTCTTTTTACCTGATCTTGATATCATGGGTACTAGGTTGGTCATCATATGATTTTTGCTTTAATTAATTTTCAGTCCCACTTTTCCTGTTGCAAAAAAATTAGTAAAATAAAATAAATATAGTAAATAAATTGGAATGGGGAAGTATTTTGACATGTTACAAGGTTATTTTAAATTCTTCTGATACCCAAAAATTAAGCTGAATCAGCGACCAGCCGCCACCTGGAATAACGCTTTCTCCATTATCCTACCTTCTTGAATAATACGTAATTATTACTTTAAGTATCTTTTTTACCAATAAATTAAAAAAAAATAATCCAAAATTAAGAAACTTATTTATTGTCATAAATTTTAATTATTCATCTAAAGACAAATGCTATATGAATCCTTCCAGTGATTAGAAAGGGGATAAGAGAAAACGAAAGTAATATAAACTATTAAAAAAGCAATTTAGATTGAGAACTTTGTAATTATAAAAAGATTCCGCGAAAATTAAGGTAAAGAGAAACGCAATTAACAATTTAAAGCGTTTCTGAGTTAAGAATAATAAGATTCTGCAGATCTACAGATTTTCTCTAAAAATTATTCCAGCACAAAACCCTTAGGAAAGCAAAGATTTTTCATCTCTTTCCAATTAAATATACTTAGGGTACTTTTTTGAAAAGTGAAACAAGTTTCATTAAAAAAAAAACAGCGCTGCCTCGACGCAATCAAAATTCATCTCGCAATGAAATGAAAGAACAAAAATGAAATCCCGAATATAAAATTAAAAAAGACACCTTAATACGTCACATTTAGAAGATACGCTGATTTTTATTGTGTCATTTGGTATATAAGTTTATCTTTCTGCATTGTGTACACGTGGTTTGGTACTAAGAGGTAGAAACTTGAAACGGAATATTTCAATATATTTGTATTTGCTTTTATATATACAAGTATACAAGATTGTCTTCTCTAATTACATGTTTTCGTATATTTTTTCTACCTTAATAAACCCGAAAAATTAGCAAATAAAAAGTCTTTTTTGTGATACTTTTTGATACAGAAATTTAATAACTGTTTTTGACAAATTTGGTGATAACAATATGTAATAAACAAAAATATGCAAAAGATTAAACGTCATTTTTTATTATCCACAAGGAAAATGAAATTCCTGTAGTGGGCTGTATACCACCAATCACAAAACTTTATTTAAAATCCTTTACAAAAGGTATATAATTTTTAATGACTTTCGGGCTACATCACAGAACGTTTTCGAGCTAAAAGCAGTGTTTTTTTACCTGGAATAAGTAATTTGACTTAATTTAGAGCAAACGTTAAGGTAAAATTTTGACCAAGGTTGAAAAAGAAATATGGTTAAATACTTACTAGGTGCACCTGAGTAAAGCTACTAAATACTTAGGTAAAAACCCTTTAGATGGTACAAAATTAAATATGTCTTTGTCTTACATTTTATTTTAAACTATGTTGGGATGTTTGAGTATTTCTCAGATAACCTGCATGGTAACGTACGACTCTCACTATGGGATGCTGCTGACCTCAGATAATGTCTGAATGGATTCTAGATGGCAACTAATTAAAATGACATTATTTGAACGGATGTATAAACAAATTAGTCAATGTAACTTATAGTATATGTCGTAATGTGACACTAGCCAACAAATTGTTAGATGACTATGTTAAGAATTTTTTGTTTTATTGTTACTTACAACAGTAGCAAACATCAGTATGCTGGGGTTATAGTGTAATATACCCTGAAAATTATGTTTAACCTTGTAAAGCAATTGTATGTGTAAAAGGACTTGAACGTGTTTAAATCTAAAGTATGCAAGCATAAATATATGTACCTAATAGGTCGAGGATAAAAAGAGCTTATCATACAGCCTTTTATGTTATAAATTAACATTTGGTACCTCTGTAACTTAAATGGAAGATACATGTATAATGTTTCGTTATTAATAAACTAAGGAGGAAAGATGGTTATAATATCTAATTATAATTATCTATAATAATGATGGTTATAATGTATAATTGAATGTATACTAAGTGAGATATAGAAACCTGATAAATGAAAGTAAGGGAGAGTTTTATTGTAATGAGAGGCTAAAGTGTGATTTGTCTTGAAATATTGTGTTTGAAAGTTGTACAATAATTATTGAGATGGAATTCAATTTTCGTTGATTAGAACCGGATATATTGTATTTTATAAATTTAAATTTATAAATTTAGTTTATGAAATAGTAAATTGCTTCGCTTTTAAACCTTTTATTTTTGGCGCATCATGAACCGTTTATTTTTAAAGGAGCTGTTTTTAATTTTTTTTAGTCTAAAATTTAACTTTTGATGTTTCAAATTCCTTATTGTTTATAAACGTAGCCCCGAGGAATTTTAAAAAAGGTCTAACTTGTGTTTAAGGGTCGTAGGACATTAAGTGTTTTTTTTTTAATTAGAATAATATAACGAAGACAAAAAAATAACTCCATATTTTATTGCGTCTGATTTTACTTTTTTATATAGTATAGTATATAGTATAGGTATAGGTGTATAAGTTAAAATTACATTGCTTTTAAAAAATTATTTTACAATATTTCATATACTTTTTCATATATACTTCAAATATACTATTCCATATACATAACTTTTTTATCCGTAAATAAATTAATTTGATAAAATATGCCGTTTTCTTCAATCTGTGTTTTTAGAATTCATGTAGACCCAATAGTTTACGGATAATAATATTGTAGATAAGGGCTATTTGGAATAAATAATTTCAATTTTGCAATATCTAATACGTGAAACTTTTAAAACTCAATATTTATGAAATGGTCTTTATTCTCAAGCAAAAAAATATATTTTAATGCATTTTTAGAAAAGGTAATAATAATTTTTTTAAAAATAACTTTTTGGGCTATTTGTGCAAGATTAAGTAACAAATTAACAAAAATACCTTTACAAACTACCATTTTATTTATTTTATTTTATTTTGTTTAATTTTTTTATTTTTTCCAGTTTTTTGCTTCAACAAGGCATTTGTCTTAGTTTTGATTGGGCAGTTCTAAAGAGATACAAAAAATAACAGAAACCTTGCAGAAGATCTTACAAAATTCACCAGTCAATTCTTCAAAGAAAAGTTCAACAATGGTACTTAACACAGGAAGAACTTATTACTAAACCTTAAACAGTAAATTGGAATTTAATAGACTACGGGCTTACTGCAGATATGTCCTAAAGCAGAGTAAAAATAGAAACCTGGAAAAAAATATATATTTTCCATAAACTCATCTACTCCTACTACAGATGTTTGCAAAATGGTCAACAAAATATATGGAAATAAATCTTTCAAAGCTATTCACTAACTAAAACAAGATCCTAAAACATACTAATGAACAGAGGAGATAGCTGCAGTTCTAGCAAATTCATACCAAAAACAGTCGAGTGACGAAAACTTACCAATAAAAATAACTTTGATGGGTCTAACATTGGTTATGACAATCACACCAGTTTACCCTTAAATGTGGAATTTATAATGGACGAGCTCCATGAATCTCTTAACCAATCAAAGAATTTAAGTCCTGGACCTGACAACTTCCCATCCATATTTCTTAAAGCTTTATCTGTGGAAGGCAAGCAGTATCTACTAGACCTCCTGGACCTGGACAAAATATGTCTTTTCTGTCGATTGACATAAATCTACCATAATTCCCGTACATAAAAATAGTAAAAGTAATTCGAGTCCAGAATCTTACACTTTAACATCCATGTATAAACTACTCGAGAAAATGATCAGTTATAGATTACTGTGTCACCTAGAGCAAAAAAAAATCTCTTAGCTTAAATCAAAGTGGCTTTAGAAAATCTAGGTCTACTACTGAGGACATAGTAGACATAGAGTCTGTAGTACATGAATCATTTAGCTGTGGACAGGACTGTTTAGCTGTTTTCTTCGATATAACTCACGCCTATGACACAATTTGGAGACAAAATATTTTAAATACCTTGTCAGGCTAGTTAATTCAAGGAAACATCTTGCATTTTATCAAAAACTTTCTTCTGAAGAGATATTTCCAAGTTCCAACAGACATCACTTATCTCATATTAAAACACTATTAAACGGTATTCCTCAAGGGTCCACATTTAGTGTTATTTTATTTCTTATCGCAATCAATAATATTGCCAACTCACTTTCACCTCTAGTCAAAGCCTATCTATTTGTGGACGACCTGGTCATCTACTCAAGAGGGAAACATTTATCATCAATATCACATCATATTCAAGGAGCCACTAGCAAACTAGAAAACTGGTCTAATACTACTGGTTTACGGGTCTCTTCCAATAAAACAAAAGATATGCTTTTCAGCAAACGCTTTGGAGCTAATTTAATCCCTTCAAACCTAGTGTTAAATAACAATTTTATTGAATATGTAAAATCTATTTATTTTCTTGACATAAAATTAGATACTCGTTTAATATGGAAAGAACATGTGCACTTTCTTTGACAATCTAACAAAATGGACTAAATCTGTTAAGAAGTATTATAGCTCACAACCTATGGGGCGGGGACTTTCAAACAATAATGACTTTATACAGATCCCTAATTCCCTTAAAACGTGATTATGGGGAGTTGCGTAGAATTCGGCAAAACTTCAATACTAAAAATTCTCGATCCAGTTCATAATACCGCAATTGGGATAGCACTGGAGGCACATTACACAAGCCGTGTTAAGAGCATCTACTGTGAATCTAGGGAGCCTTCACCTCAGTTTAGAAGGGAATATTTAATTCTTTCATTAATATGTATATTATACTCTATTGCCCAGTTGCACCAACAGACTGTAAATGAACTGATTTGCTAACCATCAATTGGACGATTTTAATCAACGATCAATGGTTATTTTTCAAACGAGTTGCACCATTCTAAAAAACTATTGGTTTACAAACCGACAATTTATACGTGGCAACATTGCACGAGTACAGATTATTTCGATTATTTCATTCGAATCGAAGTGTGATCTGTCAAAAAGATTGTCAACAAAGAAAGTTTTGTAATGTTATACCAATCCAATTGAACATTGAAAAGGTCTATATTCTTTGATTGAACTATTATAAAACATTGTTTTCTTGAAGATGGAAAATAAAGAAAGCTACTTCTCTAGTTTAGAGAAAGATATTATTTTAGATTTAGCTATTAAATATAAATTTATTATAGAAAATAAGCAAACGGATGGTGTGACAAATAAACAAAAAGCCATTGCATGGGAAAACATTAGTAAAGAATTTATTGCCATGAACATAAATACGCATCGCAACTCAAAACAAATAAAAACATTTTATGAAAATATCAAAAGAAAGATTAAAAAGAAACAAGCCGTAGAAAAACAATAATTTTAAATAGATTTTAATGGATGTAATAAAATTTGTGTAGGTAGAAAAATACAAAATAGGAGGTGGTCCAGAACAAACTGCAACCATATTATTACCTGGTGAGGAAACATTGTTGGGAGCACTTAGAGAACAATTTCAACCCCTCAAAAATGTGTATGATTCCAGTACTTCGTTTTATGAAGACAGGTGGTAAAAATTTGTTTACATTACAATACTCATAATATTTTTTTAGAATCTACAAATAACGATCAGGATGTAGTTCCTATTGAAGAGATAGAAATAGAACAGTTAGGTAATAAAGTATGATTTGTAGTTATAAATTTCTGAGAATACATTTCTGTAGATTCAGATTGAAGCAAAAATTAATACAAATCTATTTTAGATGACACAGAAATGTTTATGACTAACTCAGCAGAATATCAGAACTGTTCTGAAATGGTCCACAGTGTCAGCGAGGTGCAAACTCCTCATGATCTGGTTTCAGTACAAGATACCCCAGGTCCCAGTAAAATGATAACCCAAAAAGAAAAAAAGTCAGGTAATTTCATTTGACATGAGGATTATTTTTATATTTAGAATACATTAATTTTATTATTTTAGCAAGCAAACGAAAACTTTCTGATCTATATGATGACATTTTCATCTTTAACAGCAACAAAAAAAAATAAAATAAAACAAAAGGAAGACTACTTAAAGGATCAAAATAAAAATAAAGAAAATATAATTAAAATCGAAAAAGAAATAAAAGACCAAAAATTGAAAAATGACAAAATATTATTTGACCTGGACGAAGAAATAAAGAAAAAAGCTCTTAAGTTGTGAAATTAGAAAAAAAGATTAAAAAAGTTGAATTGGCAACTAAGTTAGAAGAATATAAGCTTCGTTTTGGAAAAGAATTTAATGTTTAAATTTTATAGATATGTTTTAATTTTTACTACCATTTTTGTTTAATAAATAAATTTAACCATTTAATACCTGATTTTTTTTTTCTTATTTGGTGGGGTCTATGCACAATATCATTAATAATTTCATTATAAACGTCATACAATTCTTTAAGAAATACATTTCACAAAATTTTTATTCAAATCAGTGTTAACAAATTAACAGATTTTTTTTAATTAAAAATATTTTGTATTAAATGTCTTCTAACAACATTTTCTGCATTGCCTCTTACAGAAATTTCATCTTCAACGTTTTCTGCAAAAGCTTCTTCCCTACATTCATCTCCTTCTGCAATAGCAATATTATGTAATACAGATGTTGCAACAATGACTCTTCCTACGTTATTAAGTGCTATTTGCATTCCTGTAGCTAAAACTGGAAATCTTCTTTTCAAAACCCCATTCAACCTTTCTATAACATTTCTGGTTTTTATGTGGGCATTTTGATAACATTCTTCAGCTTCAGATGTAGTTTGACTAAGTGGCATTAATAAAAAATTTGTGCATGTGTAACCACTATCCCCAAGTAAATAACAATTATGGATATTCACCAGCTTCAAATTGGGCCCCAATAAACTGGAGTTATATATGTACTGGCATGTACACTACCTGGCCATCTAGCAACTATATCCATGATCGTAACTTGGAATCACATACAATATGTACATTAATGGAAAACCACCCCTTTCTGTTACGATATAGTTCAGAGTTTTCTCCACCAGGAGAATTAATTCGAATGTGAGTACAATCTATAGCTCCTATCACTCCTGGGAAGTTTGTCAGTGTTTAAAATCCTTGCTTTGCCGTAGCTATATCTTTGGGATTTTTAGGCATGGTTATGTACTCTTCACGAAGGAGTGCTATATATGATGATCTCAGACTGTACTTTTATTTACCTCTATAAGATCCCCAAGAACTTGTTGAAAGCAACCAGTTGCATAATACCTTAGGGTTATTAAAATTTGATTTAATGGAGACACGGGATTATTCCTTCCTGTCCTATAACTTAAATGTTTATGAAAACGTTCTAAAAGGATCAACACTGTTTACTTGCTTACTCGATAACTAAAAATAATTAAAATGCATTTCTAGTCATTCAGATAAATAATGATATATATAATAAATATAATGAAGTTGAATTTAAAGCAAGGTGTATATATATATATATATTATATATAATATATATATATATATATATATATATAGTAGTTTTGAGTTTCTTGAACCGTATTATATTTAATATAAAATTAATGTTTCTTGGGTTTAGGTTCAATAAAGATATGTTACATGTGGAACTAGATTTTATTTTCCATTGCAATCAATCAACGTTTCGGCAGGAAAACCCTTGCCTTTGTCAAGATTATTGAACCTAAACCGAAGAAACATTAATTTTATATTATATATATATATATATTATATATATATATATATATATATATATATATACCTTGCTTTAAATTCAACTTCATTATATTTATTATACGAATCGTTGCGATCTCTTACATATCTTATATTTGGTAACATATGCATTATATCTTCCAAATCGTCAGAAGATGAACTCGACGACGACGATGATAATAAATTCATTTTTTTTAAATTATAATCTATAATACTTTAAATAAAATCTTTGGTAAAAAACACTTTAATAATATAAACAGTGTAAAAGTGAGGTTAAGGATAAAAACAGTCGTTTTTTAAATAACCGTAGAAATCGGTTGGTTACTTTTGACAGATCAAAAACAGTCGGTTCCAATCGAGTAATGGTTGGTGCAACATATTCTAAAATAAACGGGCAATTCAAATCAAAAAATCAATCGTTTAATTGTTGGTGCAACTGGACATAAGAGTGGTGGCAAATCCAACTAATTCTGTTTTCAGAAAAACTTTTGCTGACAGATTTTTCTCGGCGTTTTAGTCAAGAAGAAGATTAGATCCACCATTTTATCATCATATCAGCACAATTCTAAATAAACTAGACATCACTGTATCTCCTATATGCACACTTACAAATTCTGAAAATTCTCCACCATGGACAATATCCCAAAGTGTCAGTCTTACATCATTAAAAAAATCTTATACTTGATCATACATCTTTAAAACCAAAGCTATAGAGAACTTAAATGCGTCAAAATCGGAAAATGAAGTGGGTGCTTTATTTGTAACAACCAGCGAAAAACAGTCATTTAAACTCCCTAAGCAATCCACTATATTCACTGCTGAACTATTTACCATTCTTGAGGTAATAAAATTCGTCAATGAAAATAACATTGTTAATAGCATAATTATTATTGATTCATTGAGTTCATTATCCTCATTAAACAAACTTTTTACTAAACACCCTATTTTACGTTTAGTTAAGTTGGAATTCATGATATGCCAAATCAATCATCGAACTGTTTAGTTTTTTTGGACCTCTTCACATTGTGGAATAAAAGGAAATCAAAGAGCCGACAACGTTGCAAAACAAGCAATTGAGAAACCAATTTCATTTTCAATGTCTACTTGTCACCACCTTGATGTCAAACAATATTTTAAAAAGAAAATAATGAACAAATGATAGGAAATATGGGATATCTCAAATTCTAACCTTAGATCCGTAAAACAAACTGTCCTACCATGAAAGCTACCTATAAAAAGAAGAGATCAAGTTATCATCTCCAGACTACGATTAGTACACGTTAAAATCATACATTATTTCATTTTAAAAAAAAATTGTTAAGATTGGTCCATACGCTGTTGAGTTGCTTATTAACATATTTTGCGATTCATTTTTATATTACACAGGGTGTTTTAAAAAAAAGGTAACCCCGTCTCTAGGGTAGGTAAAAAAGTGAAAAATAATTGGGGTTTGCTTAGTAAAAAATTTTTGTAACGCCATCTGTTTTCAAGATACAGGGCGTTGAGAAAAAAAAAATTTATCATATTCTTACGATTTTGCCGAAACGACTGGCAACATTGTAATGAAATTTTATACGAATATGTTTTGGAAGCTGATACGTATTGTACCGTTTTTAAATAAAACGAGCGGTTCGAATTTATATAAATATATTTATTTATAACTTTACAGTTCGGTATTCTCTTATCAACTAAACTAACTCCTAAGATCGTTACATATATATACCAAAGTTACTATTTTCTAGAAAGTTCCCACCTCTAGGCGTTACGTGACCGATTTGTTCTCTTGCCTTCGAGGGATCTATCCATCGATGGTTCTCGATGCCGAGATGCTTCGAGATGCAACCGTTAGACGGGCCGCGCTGAATGCATGTTCGTAACACTGCTCCCCTCTTAGATCTGAGCGTCCCGATCAGCAACTCTATATGTAGGCCCAGGATGGCGGAATCTACAGGACTCTCCAGCTCTGCATGAACCCCTCAAAAAGAAATAACAGTCTACTGTCTTTGAAGGACACGTTCTCTTCGGATTAGTGCAACACACAGTAATTCTTACGCCGGTTTCTCGGAAGATTACTTCAATCATGCTTCTGACAATCTTCCAATCCAGATTATCTAGTGCATGGCCTATCTTGGGTAAGGCCAAATTCTTAATGTCGTAATTGCAGACGATTTTCTTCAAATTAGTTAGAGCACACCATATATCCTCGTAGGTTGCCCTGTCTGTATACGACTTCCTGGTCACCATATACAGCAAAGATCGAGAACCATCTTCTAATCTCAGTACTCTTCCAACTTTAGGCTGCTGGTTTTTTAACTCGTCCAAGCGACCGAATTTCTTATAAAATACAGATGAGATTCCTTTAGTCATCTCAAGATCTTGGGCAACACAGTGGGCTAGAGAGACGTTATGCGGAACACTAAAAAGATCCTGCTGAACTTCTGTCGTCACGCCGAATCTAGCACTCTTTCTCTCTGCGTAATTTGACATAAACTCATTAAAGCTTGGTCGCCGATCATCTTTGATCTCATGTTGAAGGGTTCGGACTTCTTCGGTTTCATTTGAGCCAGCATAAGGTGCAAGACGATTTATGTGAACTACTTTTGGTTTACCTTTCGGCAACTTCTTAATTCGGTATATTACGTCATTTATTCTCTTTTTAATTTCATACGGACCCTCCCATTGTCTTTGCAGTTTAGGAGACAAGCCACGACGACGTTGTGGATTATAAAGCCAAACAAGATCACCTACTTCATAGCTTTCATTCTTGCATCGAGAATCGTATTGATCTTTCATTCTGTCACTGGCTAACTGGATGTGTTGTCGGGCAAGTTCATGAATGTTGTTCATTCTTAACTTTAGGCGGTCGACATAATCTTCGCTTGCAACATGTTCTTCGGAAGGTCTGCAGCCAAACTCTAGGTCGCAGGGCAAACGAACTTCACGACCTAACATCAGGCAGGTTGGAGTCTGGCCTGTAGTTTCATTCACGGCCGAGCGGTAGGCCATTAGGAATAAATGAATGTGCTGGTCCCAATCTCTTTGATGTTCTGATACAACTTTGGACAGGTGTTTACCCATCGTTCGGTTCATTCTCTCGACCATTCCATCTGATTGAGGATGCAGGGGTGTCGTTCTGGTCTTATTGACACCAATCAATTTACAAACGTTTTGGAAAAGGTTTGACTCGAAGTTTCGCCCTTGGTCGGAGTGGATCTCCAAGGGAACACCAAATCGGCTAAAGAATTCTTTAACAAGTACCTCTGCAACGGTAGCAGCTTCTTGATTTGGTATCGCATAGGCCTCAGTCCATTTCGTAAAATAATCCATGG